TACATATATATCTAATTTACACTTAAATACTGCCTCGGAAATATGTAATGTTTAGTGACCAATGTTAATTCATTAACCAAAGTAAGGTAATCTGTTAAATACAAACATAACAACATTCGCTAACAAATTATACTTACGAAAATAAGCTCAATGTCACCTTGTTCTTCATATGAAGTCATATTGCCGAAAATTATGTCATTCAACATACATTTCACGTAGTTACTATAGGATTCTGACGAGGGTGTATAACACACTGATATGTTGGGTTTTTAAGATAACAAAATAAAAACACGACGTTTCGGAAACTGGATCTGTTTCCGTCCTCATGTGAAGGAAAACACCTATTCAGTTGGGTCTGTTAGAAAGAGCTAGCCTCAATCACTGGACAAATCGATGTTACAAAACATGAAGATTATGAATACCTGAGACCAGGCTAAGTCCATGTGAGCTAATAAGAAAAATATTCATAACAAATTGTAGCAAACACTTACAAGCGTGGAACCAGGATAGATAGATCTGTAGAAATTTATGCCACGAAACTAAACTCATAACCAGGTCCATGACCCCACGGCATGGAATAGAAAGAAGAACTAGTAACAAAACTAATAGTGTCTAACTAGCGTCAACAGTGGAGTAAATCACGTCTATCTAATTAAGAACTTAATAGAAATAAATAAAAGCATATATCACTTCATACAGATCTTCTATGTGAATTGGTGACTTCACTGCTGATAATTGGGATCCAAATGGGAGAAAAGTCCAAACTGGGTTGGCTAATTGGGTTGACCGAGCATACCATATGGGCCGCTTCCTTGTATTTCCTATACCTGATGTGGCTTTCAATATCCAAAATCTTAGCTTCATCCCAGCCTACCCTATGTCCCTCTTCATAGGCATGTTGGGCTAGTTTAGATTTTTCTAGAAGACCTTCTTTTAGGTTATGCCTATGTTCCCGGAGCCGCACGGCCAGAGGTCTGCCTGTTTCGCCAATGTAGCTTCTGCCACATTCACAGGGAATGCTATAGACGCACTGTGCCGTCTGTTGCGGATCTCTTTTCGGTCTAGTTTTCATAAGGGAGTTCCTAAGTGTGTTTCGTACGGAAGATGGTCATAATATTATATCGATTGCCTATCCGTTTAAACTTTTCAGACACACCCTTCACATATGGAATATAAACAGAACACAGAGGGCTTTCCTCTTTCTTCGGACGACTACTGCCCTTGGAATTAATGACAGAGTCAATAAAACCTTTGGGATAACCTTTCAACTGAAGATCGTGTCTCACATACATTTCATGCACGATTACAATACACCATATTGGCGTAAATTAACACTTTCGCCTTCCCAACCACGGTTGCCAACATATAATGCACGGATCACAAAATAAATTTCATAACTGTCAGTTAACTTCCCCACAAGTATAGTTCGGCGAGCATCCATGAAAGGATGTCGTATGAATTCATGGTTGAGACAAAATTCACGGTGGAAATGTATAATTTAATAGCGTACCACTCCTGTATTGTAGGCTGGAATAGCGACTAGCTACGGCCTGGACGGCCAAAAGGTCGGAGTTCGAGTCCCTGTGGAAACAGAAATTTCCCTTTCATCACATCATTAAGGGTGCGTGCACACCGAGCGCGCTTCGCATAGTGTGTCGCGTGTTGCTCAACGCTAAGCATTGCGCTAAGCATAACCAGCCCATTGTTTGAGAGCCAGGTGTTCACATCCGTTCACACCACTCCCGCTCCGCTGTGCAGTACGCCTAGCATAAGGCCCATAAGGCTAAGCGATGAGCACCGTAACGAGCGTAACGAGCATTGTAGGTTAATTGCTTGGCGTTGCCTAGCTGTTTCTAAAGCGATGGAAGAAGAAATTATTAATGCAGTATTTCAAAGAGAAGAAATATGGAACCCAAGACACAATAACCACAAAAATGTAACTGTTTTGCAGAAGAAGTGGATTGAAGTCTCTACAACAGTTGGCAAAGATGGTAAGTTTTATTATATTCATACAGATACAGTAAACATATAATATTACTTCTATCCTTTTACCTAAATGTATGTGATAAATGTAATTATTCTGCCAAGGTACTGATCCAGTGCCATTAAAGGAATCGCAGAAAGTTTCTCGGATGTTTTTAGCTCTTTCTGAAGAACGACACTGTGTTGGTGTATGAGGCCGTAATGTATCACCAAGTTGTGTAATCAGGTTATCATCATTATTTTCTGTTTGGAAAGGTTCGTGGGTTAAAATGAAGTTGTGAAGGACGCAAATAGCTTTCACAATATTACTTGCATTTGAGACATCAGTTTCTATTGCTTTCAGCAAAACTCGCCACTTGCTGCACATAATACCAAAGGCGCATTCTACACTTCTTCTTGCCCTTGAGAGCCGATAATTATAAATACGTTTCCGATTGTCCAAAATTCTTTTGGGATATGGTCGCATCAAGTACTGTAAAAGAGGGTATGCTTCATCACCGACCATGACAAAAGGGGTGATCTGTGTCTGTGGGAGTTCTGTTGCTGCTGGAATAATTAGTTTGCTGTTTTCCAATAATTTGTATAACGAGGTAGTTCTAAAATTCCCTCCATCACTTTGACGTCCAACAGCCCCAATATCAACAGCCAACAGCTTGCAATCTGCATCAACAAGAGCTTGTAACAATATTGAAAAATATTGTTTATAATTATAATATAAAGAGCCGGATTTAGCCGGACATTTAATTTCGACGTGTTTGCCGTCCAGTGCTCCTAGACAATTGGGAAAATTCCATTTCTCCCAATATTTTTCTGCTACTTGTCGCCACATTTCAGTTGTAGGGGTTGGCAGGTATGTCGCTCGTAAAACATTCCATATTGTGATACAAGTCTGTTTAATAATTTGAGAAACTGTCGACACGCCCAGTCGAAAGTGAAGCGCCAAAGAATGAAATGACTCTCCAGTGGCAAGATATCTGAAAGAAATAGCAACTAGCTTCAATGAATTAGAAATATATTTAGAATCGTTTTAATAAATATACATCTGTAAGTCACATTTTTCATAATTGTGTACATTGAAAAATCAGTACAATTACTCAGTTTCTCATTCAGGCTAATTCTTTGTTTATATTTCAGTTAAAACTGTGAAAGCCAAATGGAAATATCTCAGAGATTACTTCCATCGAGAGTGCAAAAAACTGAATCATCCGAGATCTGGAGCAGGAGCCGATGATGCACCGAAGGGGTCATCGTGGCAATATTTTGACGCGATGCTCTTCATTAAAGATGTTTCGACTTCTGACAAAGTCGAATCAAGTCTACAAGAAGGACCCGAACCTGACGGAAGCCAGGAAGGAATATCCGAAGACTCAACTGGACAGGAAATAATACCGTTACCACAGAGTGAAGACTCTATGCCACAAAGCAACTCATCTTGTTCGTCTTCACGTGTTAAAAGGCAAAAGAAAACACAAGAGGATGAATTGCTGAGTGTTGAAAAAATGAAATTGGACTTGTTGGTGAAAGAAGCGGAACGGGAAGAAGATGATGATCTCCTCTTTTTTAAAAGTTTGTTGCCAGACATGAAAACCCTGCCTCCCAGGCGAAAACGTCTTTTGAGACTGAAAATACATTAACTCGTTGGGGAGCTTGAAGATAACGAACGACAGAATACACCAGTTGAAATGAGTTTCGTGGTACCACCTCAAGCATCTAACCAGCCAACATTTTCATTATTTACTCATCAAGATTCATTGCCTTAAAGTAGTATGGTTTCCGTGTTATTTTGCTACCAGCATTAAGTGCATTGCATTGTTATTGCATTGCTTGTATCACCATTAATAATTAATTATTACCCTTATTATTACGTCATTTGTTGTATGAAATCTTCGCTGTGATTCCACTTTGAATTATTATTTGTATACTTACCTCACTGTTAAAACTAGCCATTGTTCAGGGGATATCTTCTGTCTGTAGTTAGTACCAGGTCCGCCAAGATGATTTTCTAACTTCTCCAAGAGCATGTCAAAGGTATTTTTTGTCATTCTTAAGTAATTATAAAATTTATCATGACAAAGTCTTGCATCTCTGTACAAATGGCAGAATTCTCCCAAACTAATTCGTTCATTAAATTCATGAACCCAATTACAACTCCTCTTCCTACGTTTGAATTTTAAGACACTGTTTTCCATCAGTAAAATCTTCCTTGCGGACTTCTATAACGGCATTCTCGCGACTGCATAGCGTTAAGAATTTGGTATGAACAGGAAGCAAGCATAGCACTTCACGCAACACGCGACACACTATGCGAAGCGCGCTACAAAACATTATATCCCAGAAAACAGAACCATTCACAGCCTTAACTCTTTCCTATCCTCTACTGGAAGTCTTCCAATATTGTGATTTTCCTGTAGAGCTCTATTTGGAAGCCCTCTGCTACCAACTTGACAAACATAATGCCATGTCATGCTTGTGTGCTGAATATTATACCTTCAATCTTTATGTCTTTAACACCTATAGGAACAATAGGTTGCAAAAATTTTGTATTTTTCTATATCAAAGTGATTTTATAGGTGATAGGAGTAAGGTTGGAAATAGAATGGCTGGGAAAAGGTTCAAATTTTGCTTCTTTTATTCACCTGGGAAAGTAAACTCTTAATCATTATGTCAAATTCATACCGCTGATCACAAAAGCAACACAAACATTTGTTATCAATTTTTTAATTGTTTCATTTTGGCCCGGGATGAATTAACAAGGAGGAGTTCAGCATTTTATATCAAATATTTTAACATTTTAGCGTTTTAACTTAAAAATAGGTTCGGATGAAAAGTGAGAACTTGAGAGTGTACTCAACTATTTTAGCATGTTTTGTGCTTTTACACGTCAACATATCGTAGAATCATCCACACGACAAACATAATTGTGAACATCAAAAAACAGCGACAGTGTTTCCATAATTTATAGCAAGTGCCTCTGATGATGGTTGTGTCAAACCGAAACATGTAAGGCAGAAATAATAATAAAAAGTAACCTACAAATTGTTACACTCGACGGACTCTCTATTAACTTTTGTTATCAAATTCACTTCAGACTGTGATGGTAGTACTATAAATAATCTTAGGTGCTCATGGCAGTGAGAATTCATATTTTGATTGTCCGGGATATAACACCACGCATTCAGGGTCACTGTAAGGTAATGGAGGGCCCCTGCCTTATACCTGTTTTAAAGAAACCTGACAATATAGTCTGAAACTAAAATAAAAATATTTATATTAAAAAAGGCAAAAAGAATAGGAAAAGACTATAAACACAGAATCTGAAAACTATATTTAAAAACATACTGCCAAACAATTTATGCACTCAAACCAGAACTCTTTTTCACTTTTCACTTCACCCAGTTCTCCTATGGAAATCTACCGGAGACCATTAATTATATGTCTTCAAACTGCTGATGTTGCATATTGACCCTGCAGTCTCCATTTCACCCATTTACTGGTTGTGCTCCCAACACCTAAAGCACATCGTGCACCTATTTTTGTCACCTGGTGTAATTGCTGGAAACTTAACAGACTGCAATGTTGGTAAACATATTCTTGAGATATTTGGAAACTGATCTGGATGTACACTGTACCAATACTGATGTAGTGGGGGTCCTGCTCAACTGCCCACTTTGCCCATTGGATAAACTGGCCCTGTATATACAGCAAACCCCTAGTTATTCAGTAGCCAAGCATCCAGAATTCTGATGCAACTGGGACAATTTTCAAAGAAGACTGACCATTTTTATAGTTTCTCCTAGGTCAAATATGTAATGTGCACATGTCCACTTGCCATGCAGTAATTGTCCCAGTCACCACAAGCAACAGTGCCACTGCAGTAGAGGCCAGCTGAATGTGTGATAACATTACAGGCCATCCAAATTCTTTCGCACATCTTTTTACTTAGTCACTTAATAAGGGTCCCATGCAAGAATTAAGGCAAAACGTTTTGGTTCCTGTAAGAGTTCATCTTATGCGACCAGCAGATTCATGTAACCAGGATACTCCATCACACATACACACCGGATATCCAGCAGTTTGTTGTAATTGTCAAGGAGAGATTGTCAGGAGGTTGGAGAAAACTGCATAATGAGAAGCTTCATAACTTGTACTCTTCTCCAAGTATAATTAGAATGAGCAAGTCAACGGGGATTAGATGGGAAGGGCATGTAGCACGAATGGAGACGAGTGCATATAGGGTATTGGTGGGAAAGTCAGAAGGAAAGAGACCACTGGGAAGACCAAGGTGTAGGTAGGTGGACAGATGGATTGAGCTGGCTCAGGATAGGGACAAGTGGAGGGCTCTTGTGAACACAGTAATGAACCTTCAGGCTCCATAAAATTCTGGGAAGCTCTTGAGTAGCTGCACAATTGGCGGCTTCTCAAGAAGGGCTCAGCTCCATGAGTGAGTGAGTCAGAGGAACATCTTCACCTATCAAATTATGATGTTCGGCACAATCTTTTTTGTGTTCATCATAGCAACATACTTCCAGCTTCATGAATACACCATTCCAGCCACAAAGTATTCACCACATGCATATTACATAAAAAAAAACTCCCATGATTTTAGACTGCAAGTGAACTATACCGACCGAGGAACCGCCACTTGTCAGCAAAGTTTAGTGCTAACTTAGAGGGTTTTGCGTGGTCAGTGCAATGAATCCCCACGGACGTTAATATCGGTTTTCTAGACCGGAGCCATTATTTCCTTGAAATAGCTCCTCAATTATCATCACGAGGATGAGTGCACCCTGTTCCAAATCCACTACTTCTCAGAAAAATTTAGTAGCTCCGGGAATCGAACCCGGACCTCTGAATGCAAGGTGAACAAATCTACAAAAGGAACAGCCCAATCCTTAGCTCCAGCAACACTCTGCTCTTACAAATGAAATAAATAAACTGAAGTAACTTCAAGAGCAAAGATGTTACAATGCCACCAGCTATGTTCAAATGTTTTAAGGACACAAAGCATGAAGTGTGGATCACACCTCACTTACTTAAACAGTTCATCAGATCCACTGAAGAAAACTCTTCTTCAAGGTAGTATATGAACATGAATATTCTTGTTATCTCATTAACATTAAATTCTGATGAACTGTTAATTACATAAGTGATGCGCCAAATTTTGAGTTCTGAATAGTAGTGACAGAAACAAATATTACATTTGATAAAAATGTGTTCAAACAGAGTGGAATGTTCTCGTGTGCAGTGCGTGGTTGACAACACATGCTAGTGTTCAAGGTCAGCACTGAAATCCAATGAAATGTTAACAAAACTGTGAACATTCTGAATTTCAAATTCTTCTTAACCATAAGTTTAAAATCAGAAGCAACTGTATTTCTTAGATTACGATTTCAAATCAAAACAATTTTAAAAGAGGAAAATTCAGGATCTGAACAGATGGTAAAATATACATCAAAATAGTGTAAAAATCAAACTGTTAGATTGGCGCTTGATATTCACAGCAGGTAGCACTAAATTCTTGGAAATAGAAACATCACCACTAACACTTCCCACTGATGTTTATTAAACAAATTGTTCACTACTGTTAGCAGAGAGATCCAGTAACTTCCATGCTGCTCTTGGATTGACTTCAGCACGATCTCTACAAAGAACCCACACATAGTGGACTCTCAGAACTTTTTCTGGATCTCCTTCTACTACATTATTTTTAGCATCACGTGCACACAGGATCTGTTGTGTAGTGAAGGTCAAAATCAACACAGGTCCTTGATCCATAACTTTCCCCATTGCTAAATCTACATTGTCTATGTCCAATATTTTTGAGTCTAACCGATAACCAGCAGCAGCTGCTTGCCTTATAGGCGTAGCTAACGTATTAAATGGAGCTTCGTAACACCAATCTCGAAGGATTTCTAAGTCACCTCGCACTATTGCTTCTAATATGTTTGGAATAATGTCTCTCTCACAGTCCTGCAGAAACTTAATTTTATCGAAGCTAGGATCGAGTTTGCATATCTCAGTCAACGTTTCTGACAACTCAGTTTTCTGGAAGAGGCCACCCATGACGTCTGATATCTTATCCGTAAGGAGACGTGATGCTCTTATAACTGGATTGTCACTTTCATCATATTTAATCTTCCAGTCCAGTACCTTGTTCACATATGGATTATTATCTTTGAAATGTTGCCAGCTCTGATAAAACCTGCAAGCAATATCATAACATTGCATTATGAACAAAGAAGAGGAATAAGTTTGCACCTTTCTGAGCCACAGCAATGACCTTTCTTTATTTAACCCTTTGACGTGGTCATTTAAATTCCGCGGCCGCGGCTCCTGCGGTAATATATTCAGCCGGCCATTTAAATTTTGCTCGAAAATTATTTATTCATCATTGTTCTTAAATTCTATGAGATAGGAACATGAAACTTTCACTAAAATGATCTTAAA